TTTTTTTTAAAAAAAAAAAAAAAATTGTTACTTCCCTTAATCCCTATAAAATCCGTACAGAGCCATCAACAATAGCTTTGTAGAGGGCCCCCAAACCTACCCTGGTTCAGCCTTCTTGGCAGGACGACAGGGTCCACCCAGGCCACGCTAGAAAGATGGTCGCCAAGCTCTTAAGCCATCCGACCGCCAAGGACTGGCAGTTTAAAGCGTATTATAGGATATTATAGTGTATTATAGTATACTACAGTTTTTCTGTATTATAATATAGTAGATTCCAAGCAAATTAGAGGTATATAGTATATATTCTATTGTATTGGATGCAACATTTAGCGGGTGTAGGCCTTTGAGTTCAGAGGTTTTGGGTTCAGGTATTTTAGCCAGATGGCAGAAGCGGCCAGGGTTTTGGGGGTGGAGGGTTCAAGGACACTAGCATGAGATTTCTGCATGTGGCCGTGGTATGAGCCTAATTCTGTTTGAAGCTGCAAATCCCTACATTTGGAAGCTTGCGCCTGCATTACGTACCCCCTCAGAAGTAACTGGTCAGCCTCTTAAGGCTCCAGTCCCTTAGTCGAATTGTCCACGTAGGAACTCAGGTTTGCATGGTCACGTTTCAGAAGTGTTAGAAGAGCTGTTGTTGCTTCACGGTTCCTCCTGCTTTCAATATGTTCCCTAGCGTCGAGTGTTTCACGCGTAATTGGCAAATGGCATCTTCTCCCTACCAGATGAATGACACTCACCACAATAGTGCGAACCCAGTATAAGCCCCGAAATACTATAGTATTTATTGAGGGGACCCCACTTTTGGGCACCCCCCAGGTCTAGACAAAGAAATGGAAATGTCGAGGGATCATGTCACGACGTTTTACAGGATCGGCCAGGGGTTGAGATTCCCCTGCCCGTAGCAAGAGAATCCCTCCTCTGCATTGTCATACGCAACTGCCTCGTCTGCTACCGATATAAGTACTCTAATGTTTGATTATGCCTGCTATTTCCAGAAGAGTAGGGTCTATGCCGAAGCCCTGAGCGTGCGAGGACCAGACCTTCTACTACGAGAACATTGAAGGCGGGCATGGTGGTGCTGCTGACAACAAACAGCGGGCGTTCATGCAAGTAGCACAGCAGCTTTTCTCGAATAGCGCGCCATTCACGTCCAATGGTGAGGGAAACCCACTGCTGGCCATACATTGGGAGAGCTGTGGGGGGAGCTGTGGGGACCGTTAGGCTCTTCTGCTAATTACTCTGGTGGGGGAGCTGTGGGGGCCCAAGGGCAAATTGAGCACAGAAACGGCAGAATCCTGATTAGTTTAGAATTTAGGGTTGGACTTTCTGGTGGTCCGGAAGTTGTTCTAGCGTTGACATGGCAAATATGGCAGTCTCATGTGCCTCAGAACAGACAAGGTATGCGTTCCTGTGGAAGACTCTATCGCCCGGACGCAAGCCAGACACGATAGTTTGATGCTGGCGCTGGTTCGGACCTGAGGCCAAAGTAGTTGCGTTTCAAACTTAATTAGGCGAAGGTTGCGGTGTGGGTATGGAGTTGGCATCACAGAGCTGTACTGTAAAGCCGTGGAAGAGCTACAAGAGCCATCCTGTCTGTCCTCTTGCTGTGTGGGCCTAGTGGCTTACGGCATCGGCATCACAGAGCTGTACTGTAAAGTAAAGGTTTACTTAGGGTTTGGGGGTTTAAGGTTTAGGACATGGGCGGTTCATGGAGGGGTTGACTACTCTATGCGTAGAAATACGCTTGCGCCCTTAGACCTTGAGCGAGGAAAAAAATTGGGATATGAGAAATTTAGCATCATGGGATAATCATTCCTAGTCGAATATTGCTCATCATCATATATCTTATATTCGATATTTATAAGCCGTCTCATTATGATTTTAAGAAAATGACAAATTCAAATCCGGAATCTGAAGATCTTTGACTTATTTCTATAATTTCATAGATGAAGCTATCTTAAGTATTGAATATCTATATATTCTATATAAAGAATTTATTGTTCTTCTTTAAAAAGAATCTAGATTTATATTCGTATTTCTTTATATTTATTCATTATATCAGAATATCTCAATATTATGACGCGGCATTTATGGTTATTTCGATTGCGCGTGGCTTAGCCTTTCTGACTCACTTCTAAAAAGCCTCTTATAGGCTCCCTAGGGGGTTCTAGTTTTTATGGAGGCTTTAGAGCCCTTCAGAAAAGTTGGAGGCTCTTAAAATTTCTGGGATTTTGGATAGGGGTGGTGCGAGTAAAAAATCTCGGAGATCTTTGGTCGTATGATTTTTCGCCTCGGAGCAATTTTCCGCGTTGGATGGAAGCAACTAATCTAAGATAATCGTGTTTGGTCTCACGGTTCGTTGCGTAATAATTAAATTTGAAAGAGATAAATGAATTATAGATTTTGGGCTGGAGATCTTGGATCGTAGGTATAAAATTCTCTCAAGATTTCGAGGTATTTCTATTTCTTTATTTGTTTGAAGTTTTTGCCCCCCGGTCTTCTGTATATTTCATATACGTGATTGGTCGAAGGAATATATAGAATAAGGATTGAAGACGGAAATCTTTCGGAATTTAAAGATTAGAAGTATTTATCTATGGATATTTTTCCGCTCTTCTGATTTGGCGGATATTAATTGATTTAAGATAGATAATTGAAGCGGAAAAATCAAGTCAGAGGCTTTGGATTATATGATTAACAAATTGCCGTGATTTCGAATTTTTGCTTTGATGATCTATATAATAATTCTACGGAGTATATAATCTCGAGATAGATAGAAAAAATCTTTCAGGATCTATAGATTAATTATTTTCTTATAATCTTGAATCTAAGTCTCAGACTTTTAAATTTCATAATAAAAATCAAAAGATGCGGGAATTTTCAGGAATTCGATAAATACGGAAGCCACCGCACCGCAATTTGGAGCTTATAACAATAATTCTTCTGGTAGATGCTTGCCAAGAGGATATTGGGGGGGGGGAAAACGATATACAGATATATTATAGGAAGCGAGGGAGAATCCGATTTGGATCAGCAGAATTTATATAAATCATTGGGAATAATGATTTGATATCTCCTATCTAAATCTTTCAGATTTGCAAGAATCTGACGAGCTTCAGAAGAATGATTAGCGATAAAATATTTCCGATCAATAAGGATATCATCTGCTATATTAGATTCATATAGAATGATCTGATGATATATTCTCGTAAAATAAGAAACTATTTGTATAAAGCTTCATGAAATATCAAAGGAATAGAGCTTCTAATTCTATTAAATCAGGGAAGCAGAACCATGCAAGATTCGTTTCGAATTGAAATTCGAATTTCATAGATCTATAGAAGATTATAAATATCTCTATGCGTAGAATGGATGATAGAAATAGATCGCATCAGATTATCTACGAAAATATCGTCAGATTCTGAAATGTCTTTCTAAATCTTTCGATTCCAATATATAAATCTGCCCCTACAGGAATGCCTCGAGATAGACGCCTATTTCTTGGAGGAATAATTTGATAGATATGATAACGCCTCCAAATATATAGTTGCCTCAATTATTGCTAGCCTGGTAATCCTCAACTTCAAAATACCAATATATATTCAGGATGGGGGATCTCAAGTTGCGAGGAAGCAGGATTTGGAATTCTACGTATTGCCTTCTTCTATATCAGATAATTTGTCGTGCTGCGTCATTCGAACGATGATATTCCGTTGTTATAAGTTGCGGGTCCACTCTAATATTTCTATTAAAGGATAGGGAAAAGGATTCATTTCTGATATATGATTTTCTTGAGAAATTGGTTTGAAATTTTTGTTTTATAGGATCTAGAATGATATTATTGAAAAAATCGATCGTAATTTCGGGTTATGCGATTGATGACGACATCATTTAATCTTTATATTACGATCTTTAAATTGATGGCGTCATTTCTGAAATATTTAAAATAAATGAAATCTATATGATAATTATATTTATTTATTATATAAATTATATGAGAAAGAGATTTCAAATTCAACCTATTTATAGAATATGAATTCGATTATCCTTCTTAATGATAGATGATATAATTAAGAGAAGTTTTTCGATTAGATTTGAAAAAAGATTATCTATATATATTCTGATAATATTAGAATTGATTTGATGCCTATAGCACGGTAAATTCGTATGAACTCAAATATATTCAAGAATAATATAAATTCATATACTAGCAATTTCTTCATTCTTTCAAATATTTCATCAATATATGATTTAGTTTCTATTTAAAAATCGAATAAATCTGTTTCATTCTAAATGAATAAAAATGAAAATGTCTCAATATTGTGGTACGGATATTTGCGGCTATTTCGACCGCGCGCGGCCTAGCCTTTCCGGCTCAGCACTAAAATGCCTCTTGCAGGCTCCCTAGAGACTCTGGAGACTTTAGAATTTTCACAAAAACTAGAGGCTCTAAAATCTGCGAGATTTTTTGTGCGGGCGGCGCAACCAAAAATCTCAGAGATTTTTTTGGTCGCGGGGCCCTTCGCTCCGGAGTGATATGCTACGCGATTTATCTATTTTTTGGCTGCTTGCGCGGCTGCTCGGCGAGACGCCTAGACCCAGGACGGAGAACTAACATCTTTCCAAATTCATATTTATGCGTTCCCCTGAGCCGCGGCGCAGATGCTCCAAGAAGAGAGATAAATGAAGCGGAAAGATTGGGCTGGATAGGGAGGCCGTGCGACCCAAAAATCTCTCGAGATTTCGAAGCATTTCTCTCTCTTTGGTTGGCGCGGCAGCTCGGGGGAACGTATAGACCCGGGACGGAGATCTAAAATCTTTCAGAATCTATAGATTGGCCGTTTTTATCATATAAGATCGTATATATTGATTATTAATCGATCTCCACGTGCGATCTTATTTGATCCGCGTGATTCATCTCTTTGATTATCTGCGCGCTTATTCGGAGGAGCGCATAGATTCGGGACGGAGAATTAAAAATTTTCAAAAATTTTTAGATTGGCCGTATCTGTGCATGCAGAATTATATCTTTTCTCGAGTCGCCGCGCAGATAGTCCAAGAGAGATAAATGAGGCGGAAAGACCGGGCCGGATGCGGGGGCTGCGCGAGCGAGCAAAAATCTCTCGGATTTCATATGTGGTCTTAAATATTCCGTGTGATTTTTCCATTTTTAATTGTCTGCACGGCTGTTCGAGGGAGCGCGTAGTCCCGGGACGGAGAAATAAATTCTTTCAGAATTTGCAGATTAATTATATCTGTCTACGAGGATTTACGCACTCTCTCGAGCCGTCGCGCAGATAATCTAAGAGGAGAGATAAATGAGGCGGAAAGGTTGGGCCGGATGCGGTCAAAAATCTCTTGAGATTTCGAACTATTTCTCTTTCTTTGACCGTCTGCGCTTTTTCTGCGGAGCGTGAAGATCCGGGGCGGAGATCTAAAATCTTTCTGAATCTAAAGGTTGGCCGTTTTTGTCACGGAAGATCTTATATATTGATTATTCATCGGACGTCACGTGCAATCTTAATGTCGGATTTTGATTATTACCCCCCCCCAAATTCGGATCTGAATAATCGGGGAGCCCCCAATCAAGTTCGGGAAAAGTTGTTTGGGCCGGGCCAGTCCCGAACCTTGAGCCTGTAAATAAATTTAAAAGCCTGAACCTAACGCCCTGAACCTGTAACCCTGACTCCCAAACCTGCGACCTTAATTAAACCCTAAATCCAAACCTTAATTAAGGATACGTATTTAATTAAAGACTTCATTTAGTTATAATATGGAATGCAATCTGAAATGCAAGGCTTGAATATGTACGCAATTAAAAGTATATATATATAT